AAAGTTCCGTGCCATAATGTCATGTCAATGTCATCGGCGAAACCAAGGAGCTGGATGGACTTCCTGAATATCGTGCCACTCGTGTCTATCCCAGCTCTTCTGATCACACCTTCTAACGCGATGTTGAACAGCAGACACGAAAGTCCATCACCCTGCCGTAACCCCCTTCGAGATTCAAAGGGACTCGAGAGTGTCCCCGATACTCGAACAACGCACGTCAGTCGATCCATCGTCGCCTTGACCAATCGCGTCAGTTTATCCGGAAATCCGTACTCGTGCATAATCTGCCATAGCTGATCTCGATCGATTGTGTCGTATGCGGATTTGAAATCGATGAACAAATGATGTGTGGGCACGTTGTATTCGCGGCATTTCTGCAGAACCTGCCGAATCGCGAAAATTTGGTCCGTGGTAGCGCGGGCACCCATGAATCCCGCCTGGTATTGCCCCACGAACTCTCTTGCATATGGTGACAGACGGCGGCATAGAATTTGGGAGAGTACCTTGTAGGCGGCGCTCAGCAGTGTGATCGCGCGGTAGTTGCAGCAATCCAACTTGTCGCCCTTTTTGTAGATTGGGCATACGACACCTTCCATCCACTCCTCCGGTAATATCTCCTCCTCCCAAATCTTGGCAATTACCCAGTGCAGCGCTCTAGCCAGTGCTTCACCACCGTATTTCAATAGCTCACTTGGTAGTTGATCTACACCAGTTGCTTTGTTGTTCTTCAGCCGACCGATCTCCTCCTCAACTTCTTGAAGATCAGGGGCCGGTAGCCTGTCGTCTTCTGCGCGTGCTCCAAGGTCTGTTGCCGTGCAACCTTCGTTTTCTGCTGCTTCACCGTTGAGGTGCTCGTCATAGTACTGCTTCCACCTCTCAATCACCTCACACTCGTTCGTGAGAAGGTTACCGTCCAAGTCCTTGCACATATCGGCTTGCGGCACGTAGCCTTTGCGCGAACTATTAAGCTTCTCGTAGAACTTCCGTGTGTCGTTTACGCGGTACAGATTTTCCATCGCCTCGCGATCTTGATCTTCCTGCTGACGCTTCTTCCGTCGGAAAACCGAGTTTTGTCTGTTCCGCGCTTGTCTGTATCGCTCCACATTCAATCTCGTGCGGTGTTGCAGCATTCTCGCCCGTGCTGCATTCTTCTCCTCTACTAACAGTTTGCATTCGCCGTCAAACCAGTCATTTCTTCGGTCCAGGATTGCAGTACCTAGTGCCGCTGCAGCAGTACTACCTATGGCTGAACGGATGTCCCTCCAGCCATCTTCAAGAGAAGCTGCGCCAAGCTGCTCTTCCGTGGGTAGTGCAACTTCCAGCTGCTGCGCGTAGTTCTGGGCAATTCCGGCGTCCCGTAGTTACTCAATGTTGGGTCGCGGCGTTCGACTTCGACGTGTGTTATGCACCGTCGAGAGTTTTGAGCGCATGCATACTGCAACTAGGTAGTGGTCCGAATCTATGTTCGCACTGCGGTACGTGCGGACGTTGATAATGTCGGAGAAGAATTTCCCGTCGATTAGAACGTGATCGATTTGGTTTTCTGTGTGTTGGTCAGGTGATCTCCAGGTGGCTTTGTGGATATCCTTGCGGGGGAAAAAGGTGCTTCGAACTACCATACCCCGGGAGGCTGCAAAGTTCACGCATCGTTGGCCGTTGTCGTTCGATACGGCATGCAGGCTGTTTGGCCCGATTGCCGGTCTATACATTGCCTCCCGTCCTACCTGAGCGTTCATGTCGCCGATGACGATTTTGACGTCCCGTTGCGAACAGCCGTCGTACACATGCTCCAGCTGCGCATAGAACGCTTCTTTCTCGTCGTCGGGTTTCCCTTCGTGTGGGCAGTGCACGTTGATGATGCTGTAGTTGAAGAAACGGCCCTTAATCCTCAACTTGCACATCCTCGCGTTGATCGGCTGCCAACCAATCACGCGTTGGCGCATCTTACCCAGCACTACAAAGCCGGTTCCCAGCTCGTTGGTGGTGCCACAGCTCTGGTAGAAAGTAGCCGCTCGATGCCCGCTTTTCCATACCTTTTGTCCCGTCCAGCAAAGTTCCTGCAGTGCTACGACTTCGAAGTTGCGTGGTTGAAGTTCGTCATAGATTAACCTATCGCAACCCGGGAAGCCGAGCGATTTGCAGTTCCATGTTCCGAGTTTCCAATCGTAGTCCTTATTTCGTCGCGTAGGTCTGTGCCGATTGTTCCGATCCGTATTTCTTTCTTCGGTATTTGCAACTTTGTTTTTTTCCAGGGCGGCTTGTTGGGCCTGCCCCAACCCCCTGTCTCGCCGGGGGGACCATCGTGCACAGCTCTGTTTAGAGTCCCACGCTGGCACTAGGACGGTGATCAGCCGCTCCTAACATGGAGAACAGACGCCGTTTTGAGCCGCACCTCCATGGTGAGCAGACGCTCAGGTTTGGTGAAGCATTTCCTCTATCACCGTACTATGGTTACCGCGCCAGTGTTCGCGTCGCACCTCTTCACTTTGCTATTGCCGGACTGGCAACATTGCCCAGGCTACGCCAACCAGCTGTGTCCATGTTTCAGCTGGTAGTCTTTTGTTATCATATGACTCGAGGAGGCGTGAAGTAGGAACTTGTGAGGACCAGGGCTAGGTATTCCGCTCCTTCCAGGTTGTCAACTCACCATTTTGTAGCCCACCGTATGCGCCATAATTTGTACGACGTAGAGGCGGTCGGGGTTGAACATTCAGGTCAATTTGCCTTAGGATAGCCTCGCAATCTGTCCTTCCTTTCAGGAAATCAACTACGGTTAGGGCTCTGATGTGTCTTTTCTAGTCCGGAGAAGTTCTAGGTCGATAAGTTGACAACGGCTTTCGTAGCTGGGTAATCGAAACGGATCATTCCAAGGCAATCTATACGCAACGCAAAACGAAGAAAGCGACGTTGAACAGATTCAGTTCTCTCGGCACCGTTGTTGTGGTTTGGGTTCCAAACCGCTGAACAATACTCAAGCATCGATCGAACAAGCGAACAATAGAGAGATTTTAGACAGTAGATATCCGTAAAGTTTTTAGCTATCCTCAAAAATGAACCTTAAAGTTCTTGACGCCTTATCAACAACATATGCAATGTGTTGCTTGAATGAAAGCTGCGAATCCTAGATCACACCCAAGTCTTTCACCTGATTCACGCGTTCGATTGTCGAGCCAAGCAGGTCATAGCTAAATATTATCGGTTGTTGTTTTCGTGAGAACGTAACAGCGAAGCATTTGGCTGGGTTCACTACCATTCTGTTTAACCTGCACCAACTAGCGAATACATTCAGCTGACGTTGAAGAAAGTGACAGCGTAGATTCGTAGGAAGATTTTGAAGTCATTTGCATATGATAACCGAGGAGCTTCGATGACCAGATGCACGTCGTTGAAGTACAGTATAAAAATTAACGGTCTGCAATCTCCTATGGCAACCTTTAGTTGCCGACCGGTAAGATATGATCGAAACCAACTCAGAAGATTACCGCATACACCGAGCCTGCCGAGTTTAGCAATCGCAATAGCATGGTTCAACTTGTCGTATGCTGCGGATAGGTCTGAATAAATAACGTCCGTTCGAACCCGATCCGACAGGCACAGCAGATTGGTGGTTGTAGAGCGGCCGACAGTAAACTCATGTTGATCAGCACTCAAATACTGCTTGCAATGGGACAGCAACGGTTCCATAATCACTAGCTCGAATAGCTTCGGAACGGCACTTAACGATGTAATTCCTCGATAGTTATCCACAGCTCGTTTCCTTCCTTTTTGTGGACGGGAAACATGTACGCAAATTTCCAGCAAGATGGAAATATGCCACTGGAGAGAGCCATTCGGAACAGGCGAAGAAGCGGAATTAACAAGCTAGCAATATGTCTCTTCAAAAATACAGATGGAACTCCATCAGGTCCAGGATTGGAGGATGACTTGGGCAGAGTCGCGGCCTTAGAAATCATCTCAGCATTTACATCAATTGCACCCAGCGTTTGATCGTTTACTGGAACGTTCCTGGCAGCCAGGTTAATAAGGTCGTCAGTTAGTATCTCATTAGTGAATACACTGGCAAACTTTTCGGAAAAAATGTGGCATATATCCTGAACGGTGGCAGCAACTTCTCCGGTGAATTCCATAGATGATGGGAGGCCGGATTCCCTGCGATGCTCGTGCACGTAGTTCCAAAAGGATTTCGGGTGTAGCTTAAGTTTACGCTGGATGCCTCGTTGGAAACTTGAAAAGCAATCACGGCTGATTCGATGGTACATGTGATTCAGCCTCACATAATGTAGTTTCAGAGGAAGCGTGCTATACTTCGTAAATCTTCTCAATGCTGCTCTTTTGATTGACCTACGTAGCTCTCTCGTCTGCCAGGGAGTGTGAGACACTTTGTGGTGAGTTCTTTTCGGAACGTGTTTGTCAATGACATATGCCAAGACATGTGAAAAGGTTTGCGCTGCAGCCTCAACGTCATCTGGATCAAAGATGTTCTCCCATACCATGCTAGACAATACATCTATGATGCTACTACGGTGGTCAGCTTTACGGAAGTCACAATAAACCGTAACAGGATAGTCGTCGATATGATAATAGCGTTGTTTCGGCTAGCGACTACTTGCAACGTTCGAAATTTCGTTTTGAATTCTCAGTCCAGAATGCCTTACGCGTGTCATTTCGTTTGATACCAGGAATAAGCGTCCGAAGATCCATTTGAATACCCGAGGCTCGTGGTATGAACCGCTTGTACAAGTTTATTAAACCTAAGAAGCGACGTAGTTCGTGCACTGTTGTCGAAAGCTCGAAATACTGAACGGCCTTCACGCGCTCCGGAAGTGGACATATACCATCTTTGCTGGCAACATACCTAAGAAATCCAACGCTAGTTTGGATTTCTCCATAGTAGTTGACGCGATACATATTTCTTCGATGATTCAAGAAGACAGGACGTTTCTCTATATCAAAATGCGCAAACATAATGCAATACGTTACCAAGGATATTAGTTTAATCGTATCATTTCCTACCAAGTATGACAACGCTACATCTAACACACATCCATCATTAATCCGTCTCCCAGCACCCACAGGGAAAACGAAGCATTAAAAGTCTTTGTATAAACCCTACTACTTAACGCTTCTGTCCAAGCGTCGTGTCGAAGCCAATCTCCGGAATGCGGTCCTCCTCGTACAGTTTGAGGAAAATGTTAAGCGCCACCTTCAGGTTCCAAGAAGATTCCTCCAAGCAACGCATACACCACTTGCGATTGAGGCGGGTCAGTTCCTGGAACACGATAATCGTGTTCTCGCGTTCTTCGCTGTGCGGCACAAACGGATCCTGTGAAGACAGACACACTTAATCTCAGCTCGGCCTTTCCCGAATGACACTTACCATAACTTCATGTTCTTCGTTGTGCTTGAATACGTTTTCCCGTCCGTAGCTCGTTAGGTTGTACATGTGGAACAGATCGTTGTAGATTTTGAACTCGATAGCTCTCTCGAAAATCCCGAGACCCTTGGCGCAGGGTTGAATGTAGAACGTTCGGCTGAAACCCAGAACGAAGTCATCGCTCAGCAGGGAATTGGCCATTTCTTTGAACGCTCCGTGCACGGTAATGACAACGCACTCCGGTCGGAAGATTGGCGTGTCCACGCGGAAAGAGTAAAAATCATGTTCAGTTTTGGGGAAGGAAACTAACACGTTGGCGATGCGTTCACTTCCCACCACCAGGCTGCTAATGGCGCGGTCAATGTTGGCCAACCGAAGCAGATTGCGGCTCTTTCCCTGGTACGCATTCAGACGCACCTGGTGGGAATCCATCGTTTTGGACTGGCTAAAATTGCTGGTCATTGAAAATTGCGCCTTTGGATGGTAGAGATCCTTCAGGCTGGACCGTTGGAATGAGTCATAGATCGTGAAGTAGTGCTTCACAAAGGACTCGGTAAATTTGTACGCCTCCGGTGTGCAGATAAAGTTCTGCGAAAAGTTTACGTTGCCATTCTCGAGCAGCGGTATTCCGTCGAGCTTTTCCATGCCCGAGAAGAAGGTACGCACATGGCGGATGTAATCGATACTGGATGGCGCTGCGTTGCATATCGGGTTGTTGTCCAGGAATACTTCTTTGATTTTGTTCTTGATGACGCCCTGCAGGTCGTCGAAGGTGCGGATCTGGAATATAGAAGAGGGGAAAATTTAAAGGTGGAAAGTGCGCATGACCGAATCGGAAATTGGTAACTGTTTCGCTGTAGCACAGGGGTTCTCAAGCTCTTTCGTTTAAAGAACTCCATATTTCCAAAAATGTGTATGGTTGGCCATGCGGAGTGAATGAGGGGGGGGGGGAGAGGTAAGGGGGTTCTAAAACCTTTCAAAACTGTCTAAGAAAGAAGTACTTACAAGTGAATTCACGATGGCTTCCAGAATCAACATGGCATTTCAATATTACCGAAGACAGCATATCAAGAAGACTGGCAACTCTCCTATTTTCTCAAACGACCGGTATGAGACAGGGACATTCGCGTCGTCTGCAGCTCAAAGATAAATGCTCCGAACAAATTGGATAGCAAAGGTTCCATCCTCAGAAAAAAGGTTTGTGTATTTGCTCATGTTTCTATGCGTTACTTCCACCTTCACTCGCTGCTGTGTCTGTCGCTCGGATTCAGGCAATGTTGCCAGTCTTCTTGATATGTTGTCTTCGATATTACCCAGAAACTAAGTAAAATATTATAGCTATCTTTTTTCTCGGATGTAGGTATTACTCAATGATTATGGTGGAAGCAACGCATAGAAAAATAAGCAAATACGCAAACAACAATTCTGATGTTGGATTCTTTGATATTAAATTCGTTCGTAGAATCCTTTCAGCGGTAAATGACGTAATTGTGCTCAACTCATATACACGGCTAATGAGATCAACCCAAATTTGAGATTAGTTTACTCATGGAGGAACTCAGCGATGAGTAAATTTGCCTCATGTTTTTCTAGGTTTTCAAAGTTTTTTTTCAGGAAAAATCCCGAATATGAGAAAAGTACAGATTGGATTCCCTCTGACTTTTGGTTCTATTTCTAGACTGAGTAAAATTTTCGTCAAGTTCCCTCATTTTTCGGCAGATATATGAGGTTGCCACAGGAAAACATGAAGCAAATTTACTCATCGCTGAGCTCCTGCATTTTTGCGATTATGAGTAACCTTAACTTAAATTTGGTTTGATTCAATGGTCGTATAGCAGTCGAATGAGAAACGAAAGAGTTGCTAGTCTTCCTGATATATTGTCTTTGACAAGAGATACAAAAAATAAACGCTATTTTCAAATTATTTCAAAAAATCAATTTGTTATCATTAATCAATCTATTAATCAATCACTTTTTTCAACTTTAAACCTCATATTTTCAAAAATGTAAATACTTGTTTTTAAAAAATTGTACCGAGAATATTGAACGGTTGTGAGATAACGAAACCTCTTTAATTAATATTTGCCACTAAAAATAATCATATTTTATTCTCTAAATTGAACTGGCAGCATTGTACGAAACGAACAACAGAAATAAACTGAACATTGTATACGACGGACGCATTCGAGTGTTTCTCTCGCGAAAACCATCACATTCCGAAATCGTATTTTGAACCAGTGAGCTATCGTGGAACATTTTGGTCCGTTCTCCCGGATGACCGGAAGAATGGTGATGGTCCTCGCGATCGAGCGGTTCGGAAAAGTGTTGTTTAGCACCGTGTGCTGAACTCGGCCCAAGGCCAAGAAAAAAAAACAGAAGCGTGGTGCTGAGTCCAAGGCTACAGCGAGTGTTTGCCCGTGGCACAGGTGAAATCGGTCCGAGACCGAGAAGAATAACAGTGGTGCTGAGCGCAAGGCTACGCCACTAGTGAGAGCGAGTGTCCGTGACACGTCGAAATTAGGTTCAAGGTCAAGAAGAACGGTGGAAAGTGGCCCAAGGCTACGCCACAAGTAACAGTGTGCGTCCGAGGCACGAAGAAAAGTGACGCCAGTTTGGCTGAAAACCAAATCGAAACCGTGTGAGCACGTTTCGCGAGAACAAAATCGCCATTTTGTTGGCTAGTGAAAACATCGTCGCAATCGAACGATGTAAACAATAATAGAACCTGCAAACAAAAAGAAAATAAACAGTGCGTCAGTACAATTCATATTGCCGTCGGAAAAACAAACAGTACGTGAATGTCCCATTCGGAAACTCCGCGTGGAAACATTTCGGGAGTATCTCGCCGGAATATTTTGGATGCTCTAACGGGGAGCAGCAGCAAAAATCTACTGCAGTCGTTTGCCGATCAGAAAACGGCGAAGAAGAAGAAAGAAGAGAATATCATCATGGAGAAAAATCTGGAAGTGCTATACGATCGGCGCGATATGCTGGTTGACAAGCTGTTGCGGATGAACGAAACGCTGCGGGCAGAGAATGTCAACATTCATTTGCTCCAGCTCCAGTTGGAAACACTTCGTAGGTGTGCTGACGACTACGAGAGGATAAATGCGGATATTTGTGCCATGCTTCCTAGGGATGAACGTGCTGAGCAACGGATAGAGTACGCTACTTTCGAGGAGCTGCACAATCAGCTGTATATTTGTCTAAACACGAAGATCGATGCAGTTTCCTCAGCGACAAGCCAAAACCAGGTTGCTGTACCGCAACCGCCGGTGTACGTGCAACAGCAAGTGCCGCAATTACATGCACCATTTCCCACTTTCGACGAAAATCCAGAAAATTGGTATAGCTTCAAGAGCCTGTTTTCCAGTATCACGGCTAGGTATGGGAACGAAACCCCGGCGATGAAGATTCTGCATCTGCGAAACTGCTTGACTGGTGAGGCGAAGGACAAGATTGACGCATATCGATGCTATTCTCGACTTTCAGAAGATCGGTAAGGAAAATCGCGGTAAGTCAATCTCGAAGCTGGTCGAAGTTTGTGCTAAGCATGCTGATGCATTGAAGGGCCATGGTTACGTCGTGGAAGGATTATCCGAGCTGATCATCGTAAACGTTCTGTATAAGAAGCTGGACAGAGAGACTCAAGAACATTGGGAGTTGAAACTGGGCACCGGCAAGATGCCAGTATTCAAGGAGTTCATGGATTTTCTGAGGGAAATGGGACGCGTTCTGCAGCGGACTAATCGCTCACAGCAGCAAACGTCACAGCAGTCAACCGTCCTAAACAAGCAACGCCAAGCGTTGAACCAGAAGCAGTCAGCTCCAGTTTCGTCGAGATCGTTCGTCCAGACCACCAAGGAGAACTGCCCTTGCTGCAGAGAAGAGCATACTATATACAAGTGCACGAAGTTCCAGGAGCTTAGTGTGGGGGAGCGCAAATCCATCGTCCCGAGGGCGAATTTGTGCTTCAATTGCTTGAAGTCCAAGCACCGAGTTGCTGACTGTCCGTCCGAACAAGGATGCAAAATCCGAGGGTGCGGTCGGAAGCACCACAGCTTGCTTCATCCCAGCGATGTACAGAAAGAATCCAGCGAACCTGAAAAGCCGCCACCAAAGCCGGTGGAGCAACCGGAGTCGTCAGGAAACAGTCCACAGAAAGAAATAGCAACCACGTTGTGCACTCACGGCGGTACGGTTAAGCGACACGTGCTTTTGTCTACAGCGGAGGTGTTGGTGGTGGGAAAAGGAGGTACCACTATCAAATCTCGAGCGCTATTGGATTCAGGGTCCGATAGTAACATCGTAACGGAAAAGCTAGCATCCAAGCTAAATCTGAAGCTGCATCAAGTCGATCTGCCTATCAGTGGCCTCAACGATATCCAGACACGAGTTAAGTATATCGTTTGCACGAACATCGTTTCGCGCGTTAATTCTTTTTCCTCGTCCATTCTAGACTTCCTGGTCGTACCGAAAGGTGACATCCAACCTACCAATCACTGAAGTGGATTACCGATCCTGGCTGCTACCAGCAAACGTCAAGCTAGCTGACCCATCGTTCCACACCCCCGGTGAGATTGACCTAATCATCGGCAACGAGATCTTCTTCGATCTGATCAAGCAAGGTCGTCTAAAACTGGGTAAGAACGAAGCGACAGAGACGGAATTAGGATGGGTCGTAGGAGGATCAGTACAGACCAGGAAGTCCAAGGAATGCTTGCGTGTGTGTCAACTGAACCACCAAGACGAGATGTTGAACAAGACGCTCATGCGATTCTGGGAGATCGAGAACGTTGGTACAGAGTCAAACATGACCGTTGCTGAAGCGCTGGTAGACGAACACTTTGGGAAGACACACGTACGAGAAGAAGACGGACGCTATACGGTTCGACTACCATTCAATGACCGCAAGAAGCAGCTGGGCGAGTCGTTCGAGATGGCAAGCAAACGTTTGGACAAGCTATTGATTTCTTTGACCAAGGACCCGGCCAAACGTGAACAGTACTTCGGATTTATGGCTGAATACCTGTCGCTCGGCCATATGGAGGAGATCACCGAGGACACCCGATATGGATACTACATACCACACCACGCCGTGTTCAAGGCCACGAGTTCCACAACAAAGGTTCGCGTGGTATTTGATGCCTCGGCCAGCACGACATCAGGAGTTTCCCTGAACGACACGGTTTGTGTGGGACCGACAGTCCAAAGCGATCTGCAGACAATCATTCTTCGGTTCTGCGCGCATCCGGTGGTATTAACGGCAGACGTGCCTAAAATGTATCGCCAGGTTTGGCTCAGCAAGAACGACCGCAAGTTCCAGAAAATAGTGTGGGTGAATAAAAACGGCGTACGCAAGGTGTACGAATTGAAAACAGTGACGTACGGGGTGGCTAGCTAACCGCATCATGCTACAAAAGCGCTAATTCAGTTGGCAACGGACGAAGGCAGCAGAACAAGTGATCCGGTACGACAGTTACATCGACGATTTCCTAACTGGTGGAAAGTCTGCGGAGGAGGTGTTGAAGATCTATCGCGAGCTAACGTCGCTGTTGCAACGTGGAGGATTTGGCGTCCACAAGTTTTGTTCAAACAATCCCGAAGTACTGAAGACAATACCAGAGGAGCTGCAAGAGAAGTTCGTTAGTTTTGAGGATACTGGAATCAACAACACGATAAGGACACTGGGTTTGATTTGGAACCCGCTTGAGGATTATTTTGCATTCTTCGTCCAGCCGATCAGTGAACATACGTCGTCGACGAAGCGAATGGTACTG